TGGGATCCCAGGGAAAATGGGCAGGAGCCCAGGGAAAAGTCCTGGGGAAATGGGCAGGGATGGAAGGTGGGATCCCAGGGAAAACAACCTGGGATGGAGGGCAGGATCCCAGGGAAACAGCCAGGGATGGAGGGCAGGATCCCAGGGAAAACAGCCTGGGATGGAGGGCAGGATCCCAGGGAAAACAGCCTGGGATGGAGGGCAGGATCCCAGGGAAAACAGCCAGGGATGGAGGGCAGGATCCCAGGGAAAATGGGCAGGGATGGAGGGCAGGATCCAGGGAAAACAGCCTGGGATGGAGGGCAGGATCCCAGGGAAAATGGGCAGGGCTGGGGAGGGCATGATTCCAGGGAAACAGCCAGGGATGGATTAACAGATTCCCAGGGAAAACAACCAGGGATGGAGGGCAGGATCCCAGGGGAAGTGGTGTAGCTGGAATTGCAGTGTTTGATCCGACATGATCCAGTAGAAATTGTCCCTGTGTTTTTTATTTGCACAACAACCCCTGGCTCAGCTCCATCTGCACAGGGAGATAATTAAGAGCTGGCCTAACCTCATTAGGGGAATTGTGGGCCTGTGGAATTGTAATAATTCCTGGATTTTCTCCCTCTTGGCTGAACAGGAGCCTGGGTGTTCACTGCTCCAAGGTCCGATCCCTCACGCTGGATTCCTGGGAGCCAGAGCTGCTGAAAGTGAGTGCTGGATTTCCCAGGGAGAAATGCTGGGAATGCAGGGATTCCCTGGAAAAGGGGGAATTCCTCCCCTGAGGCTTTAATTCCCTCCCTGAACTTCACTTCCAGCTGATGTGTGAGCTGGGCAACAGCACCATGAACCAGATTTACGAGGCACAGTGTGAGGAGCTGGGGCTGAAGAAACCAACAGCAGGGAGCTCCAGGTGAGCCCAAAATCCAGGGAAAAGCAGGTTCAGGGATCCCCACAGCAACCCCAAATCCATGGAAAAGCAGCTGCAGAGGGCTCCAGGTTCCTCAGGTGCCCCCATCCCATCCCACTCACTTGAGCTGGTCTCTTGTGGGGGTCACTGGGGCTTTGGGATGGGGTTGGGAACCAGGAATTGCAGGAATTTACCGGGAATTGCAGGATTGGCCAGGATTTGCAGGATTGGCCAGGAATTGCAGGATTTATCCCTGATTTGAGGACTCCGAAATGCATGAAGCACCTGAGATTGAACATCTCATTCCACTCTCAACCACCCCCTGCACCTTCTGGTTGTGATTTGACACAAC